TTTCATCCCCCATCGGAGCTCCTCCTGTTCCTGAGCCCGAGCTAAGCCGCTGCAGCCTCCTGGCTCCCCGCGGCCCGGGACTCCCCGGCTTCCTCGGCCCCGGGGGCGCCCACGCGGGAGGGCACGTCCAAGTCTACGACCCTGCCTTGAACATTTGAGAAGCCGGCCACATGGAGAACGTTGAACCCACATTTAGAAACCCGTGGGTTAATGAGACGCGGCAGTCACCATACTGCTCTCTGCCTCCTTGTGCTTGCCGGACTCGCACCTGCCCTGTGGTGTCCGTGGACTGAAGGAACACCCGGGCTGCCCTGACGTTACAGTTCGGCTTGTGGCTGTCGCGACCCTGGTCCTCGCGACAGGGCGGGAGGGGTGCCGGCGTCACTTACGGCTGGGAATGTAAATCCCAAGCTCCGCCAGCCATCAAGCTCCTGAACACTTACCTTGGGCTTAGGGCTACGTCTGCAGTTACTGGGTTGGCACCATGTGAGAAACCTAGATGGGGTGGGTAGGGGATGGGTTGGTTGTTTTTAGTCAACACTACAATGATATGGGAGGCCAAGACTGCTGTAACAGAGCTGGAACATTTCTGAGCGCATGCTTCAGATACCCAGAAAGGAACGAATTGGGTTAATATATGTTAGAATCTGGTGAGTTCATGTTCAGCTTTTGAAATCTCACAAGCATTGTGCAGGAAGAGCATTTGTGTTTCGTATTGGGTGTTGGGTTTCTGTTGAAGCACCACAGGTAACTTCCATTTTAAGTGGCAGGCACGGCCAGGCATTTTCTTTTAATTCTTTTTGACTTGTGGTAGGCAGTGAGACCTGAGCAGAGCAAGGACCATGGGCCAGGTGCAGAAGGTAAGCAGGGCAGAAAGCCCCAGGTGCCCAGGAAAGGACAATGGTAGAGTGGGACCTATGCCCCAGGGTGACCTTTCTTCCCTTAGCATATCACTGGTCAGGCTGTTTGGAGGCCCTGCCCACTGACATTTCTTCTCTAGCAGTAACATCTAGGCCTGAGTTATATTTCAACTCCAGGCCCAGAGAAGCAGCAAAACCAGACAAGAGACACCAAGGCTGACCTCAGGACTGGCTACATTGGATACTGATCCCCCCCTGCCCTGGCACCATCCAATCAATTGGTGGAGACCTAGACCCTGAAAGGATATTCTACTAAGATCTTGCCCTGGGACCTCCCGTAAAATCTCTACCCTTAAAACCCTTAGACAGAGGACCCAGTGAGCTCTCCCTCCTGGGAGCATGCCCATGCCTTTCCCTTACCCTCTCCCTTTCAGCTCACCCCCCCACCCCACCCCAGGCAGGTTACCATCACCTTCCTCACTCCCAGACTCCAAGGGCCTATCCTTTGCCTCTATAACTTGTTTCCTTAGCCTGTTTCTTTTATGAATTACTTCTTCCACCTCTATGATTTTATAACTAAATATTCTCTTATCTGAATTCTTTTCTAGCCAGAACTCAAGTACTGAGGCTGCTGAACCCGGGTTTGGTCTGACTCCCACTGGTCTGACGCCAGGTGCCATTCCCTGCTGCCTACAATAGACTAGGCTAGGTAGGTGTTATCAGCATTTTACAAATGTTGAAATTAAGGCTTGGAGAATATAAATTTCTTAAAGAATAGTAAATGATAAAGGCTTTCAGGGATGCCACACTGCTACCTGAATAATGTGGATTTAATACTGTTAGGCATTTAATGCGGTCGTATTAAATTTGGACATGGGTGTCGTACTGGTCGGAATTAATTTCCATTGAAAGAGCAGTGATACATAACATGCAAGATTATGAAGGATAAACAAGATTTATGAACTGATACATGAGTGAATAGAGTTAAGATTCGTACGGTTCCTTGCTGTGGTGGCTGAGAGCAGACATACGACCGGAACAGTAAAAAAGCTTTGGTGGCTGAGAGTAGACAAACGACCGCAAAGGGTTAAACAACAGTTATTGAGCCCCTATTAAATAGACATGTGCATAGGTCATATACATGATCCATCAATTACAAGTATGAACTCCTTCCCCTCAAGGAGTTATGGATACACAAGACAAAAAAAGTAAATGTTGGTATAAAACAATTTACAGTACAAGAGATATAAGATACCATCCACTCAGGCCTGTACAATTGCAATAACCCAACACGTTTTTCTACTTCCCTTTATTTGTCTATATCCCAATTAATTCAGTAGCTGGAATGATCCTTTTAGAACCTGTGACCAAATATACATTTTTCTGCCGAAAGACCTTTTATGGCTTACCGTTTTACTCAGATTAAAGTTCAAAACCCTTATTGCGGCTTCTAAGAAAGAACTTGATGTGGAAGGAGTACATCTACTGCTACTTTTCAAAGGCCATCCAACCCTCTCCAAGCATATTAAGCATCAGTGCTCAGGACTTACTGTTCCTTCTGCATGGAATGCTGCCCTCCAAGATGTTCACAAGACATGCTTCCTTATTTTCTTTGGGCCACTGCTCAAGGGTAACTTGATCAGACAGTTCTTCCCTGACTACACTATCTAGGAGAGCTAACACCTGCAAGCACAGGCACACACTGTCCTCACCCTGCTTTACTTGTCTTCATAGTAGTTATGATCACTTCCTACATATTTATTGTCTGCCTGCCCCACATCTTTTGCGCTGTTGTAATTTTGTTCCAGAAGATCAGGAATTTTGTCTCATTTATTTAAAAAATATTTATTTGTGTGTGTGTATATATACATATATACATATACACACACACACATACACATATATTATTGATTTCAGAGAGAGGAAGGGAGAGGGAGAGAGAGATAGAAACATCAGTGATGTGAGAGAGTCATTGATCGACTACCTCCTGCACGCCCCCTGCTGGGGATCGAGCCCACAACCCAGGCATGTGTCTTGATTGGGAAATGAACCGAGATCTCCTGGATCATAGGTTGATGCTCAACCGCTGAGTCACGCGAGACAGGGTTGTCTCCTTTATTCTTGCCTCCAGACCAAAAATTAGTGTCAGCTCTCAATATAGCCTGAGTGGGGAAGTCAACCCCCTTTTGGGAGGAAATAGCTGTGTCATGCAAAGTATCACTAGATCTAGCTGGTAACAACTAACAGCAACTGTGAGACCACATGTCAGAATCCAGGAGTGACTATAGCAGGTATTGTGCTTGGGGGGAGAGGAAAAGGGGGCAAAATATCAGGCTGGATAAAGGAAGATTTAATGACATAGGAGAAATCTCCATGACTTGGAGTTTAATAGAGGGGTGAGGACACCTACAGCCAGTCCCAATGCCCTGGTGAGACAGTTCCTTGAAGCTTGAATGCAGAAAGCCTACAGTGAATGAAGCAGGGATAATGAAATGGCCTTGACAACATTGAGGAAGGCATCAGAAGCCTCAGGGAGATGGTGTTTTTAGAATGAATTTGTTATGTGAGAACAAAGAAACCCAACACCTGTTCATGTTTCCTGGGAAGGTTTGGTGGACACTGCCTTCAATAAGGCAATACAGAATACACTGCTGAGAAGGACACTGGTACCTTTGAGAAGCTTAGTGTCCTCTGTAAGCCAAAGCTAAAGTAGAAGATGCTTCCATGGAACTAGGATCCTTAATAATCACTAAGGACAACAGGGGTGATAAAATTCCAGAGGAGCAGAAGCCCAGTGACAGCATTTAGCTAACAGAAGCAAGGTGGTTGTGATTACCAAAACTAGCAGCAAAGCCAGAGTGGCTACCATGTTGCTTTGGCCCACAGGCTTATAATCAAAGTGTTCCTAAGGGTGAGACAAATGTGTATCCTAAGAATATTGTTTGCCTTGAATAACCGTGAAAACAAACAGAAAAACTAGTGAGCAAAAGGCTGACACTGATTGCCTTAACAAAAGTAACCTCATACCCAGACCCATCAACTGCGGGGGATCCCGGGTTCCTTGAGGAAGAACCTTGCAATGCCACCATTAGTTACTATAATGTGTTCCCAAATACATCCCCTAGGGGACCAAAAGCCATTTACCCAAGGACAAGCACACTTGTACAATGTGAATTACCAGATTCAAGGGCTGTTTGACACAAGGACTAAATGGATACTGATACCAAGCATTCAAAATTTAGGCCAGGTGATAAAAGTTTTGGCCAAAGTCTGTCTCGTAGTGTGTCCAATGGGTCTATGGACTCCCCAAGGTATAATTGGTATTGACATGCTTAGCAACTGATCAAAACCCTCTTTCATCTGTGATAATAGTTCTTATGGTATGAAGGGCCAAGTGGAAGCGCCTAAAATCATCTCTTCTCCCTGGTCCAAGACAGTAAAGTGGAAGTGTTTGCATCCTAGGAGGAAATGCAAATTGCATTACCAGCAAATACTTAAAAAATGTAGAGGTGATGACCTCCATCATATACCCATTCAACTCACCTTTTTAGCCCTTGGAAAAATTAGGTGGCTCATGGTGTATGTTGGTAGACTATGTCCAAGCTGTGGCTCCAATAGCAGCTGCTTTTGTGCCAGTTGTGGTATTTTTACTAAAATAGAAAAATAGCCTTTCATACATGTTATATGGTTATTGAGCTGGCAAATGCCCCATTGGTAAAGCAGAACAAACACACTTCCTCCTTTGTGAAAATGACTTCAGTACTGTATTCAGTTTCTCTAGGGCTAGGACAACTTCCCCACTCTGTCACCATTGAGTTCTGCAGGAATCTTGCTTGTCATGAAGTCCTCTATATTGCTGACATCATGCTAATTGGACCTAAAGAATGAGAGACATGTACTGAATACCCTGGGAAGATACCTGTGTTCCACAGAGTGGGAGATAAAACCTATAAGGATTTAGAATGTGCCAAAGTTAGGGGCATCTAATGATTTGGGAGATTCTGTGGCATCTTCTTCTGGTTTTACCTGAAATGAGAATTTGAGACAAGAACTTGTGTGCAGGTAGTTTGTTTGGAAAGTCATCCCAGGAAGCAGAAGGTAAACAAAAAGGAGAGGGAAAGAGAGAAAAGCAAAGACAATATTAGGGTTCACGTGGAGGATGTTGCTCTGGTGATTTGGGCTCAATTCCCTCAGGAATTGAAAGCCTGAAGGTCTGGAGTTTGTAGCATTTCTCCATAGCTCCTGTTGCTCGAGATTCTAGAATGTACATGGGCACTACCCAAAGGACATCTGTCATATCAAAGAAGACTTAAGGCAGGAAGCAGAGAGACTCCCAGTGTCTGCTTGAGCTGAAGCACTGTCACTACAAAGTAGATCTGAGTGCACACAGAAATGTTCACCAGAGCTATGGCTTAAATCAGAGATTTGCTGAAGGGATGTCTTGTGGGGCACAGAAGCACTGGCTACATCCTTTAAAGTGAAGGAAAAGCTATTGCACTTTGTAAACCCTATTGCAGAAAAGAGATACAGCATTTGATGGCCCCTTAATATCGGAGCCACATACACCACACTGGAGACTACTGCTTCAGTCCATTTATTAGATGACTCAACTTTCAGCTCTGAGTGGGGCCCAAAGCAAGAGAGGGATCTGTGGCAAATATAGGCTGTACTGGATTGTCAACTGCTCTACCACTTGAGCTGTGTGACTTGGTAGATTCAAAGGGCTTGAGGGATCTTTGGTGGATATTGTTTAGTGGAACATCTGAAAACCCCGATAGATTTACAGTGCAGACCAGAAGATTAGAAGGCCAGCCCACACCTTCTGTAGCAGAGAACTGCTCAACTTTAAGCTCTTGTGATGCTCCTGGGGTCTAGTAAAGAGTGGGTGCTGACCATCGGACATCAAGTGGCTATGAAATTGCATGTGTCCACCATGACCTAGCTATTGTCATATTCATACTTACTGAGTCATAAAGACAGACAGGTGCAGCAGCAATCTGCTGTAAGAGGAAAATGGTGCATTAAGAATTAGGCTTGAGCAAGTCTAGAGGGCAAAGTACATTAGGTGAGAGAGCGGGCTAGACTCTCATATCTACCTGCATTGCACCAATGCTCTCCCTCAGCTCACACCTATGACCTCAGGAGGGTGTTCCCTACGACTAATTAGTGAAAGAAAAAACAAGAACAACTATAATATGGACCTCATTGAAAGATCAGTTGGTTGAATACATTGGTGTGAGCTGAAAATGCATTACTGCTCTACTGCAGGCCCACTCAGGGTGGTCCTAACGGGACATTGGGGTGAAATGCCCCCAGTGGACAGAGCTGTGAGTACTTGATTGTCCACTTAGCATGGAGGGAGAGATGGCCTCTCCCTCCTCCATAGTGTCTACTTGGGTCAGGGGCCAAGAATATATAAAATTGGCAGACTGGAGACAAGGAGTTCTGGGGAAGAGGCATGTGGATATACCTAAGGAGTGGACATAGAGTCCTGAATCTTTGTGTCTCATTTTTATGCCCTTTGTAAAGCCTTTATCTCAGAGGAGGCACTCACTCAGTAAGCAAGTGGACAGGATGACTTGTGCAATCTGTGTTAGACTTTTTTCTCAGCTGCTTCAGTGCTTGTCTGAGATGCTCATGTACAGAATAACCATGTTGTTAAGGAGGGGCATAGGCCTGGCCAAGCAGCTAAAGTTCCTGCTTACTAAA